TAGTAGTCAGTCAAATCCTCTAGTACTTTAGTAGACATTCCACAATTAAACTGTAACAGCCCAATCCTGTAATGAGTTCTGTTTAATCTGTGGGTTTCTGCATATGCACAGGTATCCCCCAAACCCAAGCGATTTGCAGGATCAGGACCTTTATTTTAAATACAGTAGCTACCTACAGAAGCACTAGTTAATTTAGGGGATTGATAATGTGATCTGAAGCCTTTAACCACTATCTTGCTAATCTGAACCTGGAATTCCTAAACAGTTACTAAAAGTGGTTATAAATTGCCACCTTTTGGCTATTTTATGGCTTATGATAAGCTAGCTCATTCCTAATGGGAAAACTTGCCAAAAACCATCATGAGCATTATAGTTGGAAGGCTCAGGAGAAAAACCAAGGTCTAACGAGGCATAGGAATTTTAAATTATTCTCTCATACGTAAAAGTTCTCTCTCCAAACAAGGTTCAAGATCACTGGCAGACCAATGTAGGGAGCCTTGCACTAACACTGCCTGAGTTGAAAGGAAAACTTCACTTTCCAGTATGTTCAGTGCTTGTACTTTTTGGATACACTAGATTTTAAAATAAAAATCCACCACAGTAAGCCAGTATCATAGTTAGCTGTCACTGAAGATTGAAAAGGTAATGAATAGAAATGCTTAAATATCCTCTAACACAGCCTAAGAAAACTGCAATGAAAAGTTTGAACAAAGCATATTGCCAGGCCCATCAACAGGTGGGGCAAAGGGGGTAGTTGTCCTGGAGATCGGCAATTCAAAAGGGCACAGAAATTCAAAAGGGCACAGAGTTCCCAGATGCCGCTGCACGGCTGTAGTCCTGGGCCCTTTAAATCGCCACCGGAGCCCCACAATGCACACTCCAGGTAACACTGAGGGCTGTAGGGAGGAGGGGCGTGATATGGTATGCTACAGGCAGTGCTGAGGGCAGGCTGCCTCTAGCTCCACCCCTTCTTCTCAAAGCCCCATCCCTTCTAGGAGTGCAAAGCCAGGCCCCTTCCACTTTTCCCAGGGCCGGGCAAGTATGTGAGTCCCCATGCCTATTATCAAAATGTTCTATGTTCTATATAGATCAGCAATGGGCAATGTAGGCTAGTGAGTAGACCACAAATGGCCCTCCTTAATATCAGTGGACTGCAACACTCATAACCAAGATGGTCTCCCAGAATACGGTACTTTTGCTAACTACACTTGTGCACTTAGAATTTGCGGAGTGAGCCGATTGAACTGTAGTAGCACTTCGATTGGATGCAGGAGAAACACATAGCTCTTACAGCCATGTTATGTACAGTCAGCACACACCTCACCTCATGTGCCCTTGGTTTATATGCCTGATCATTTTATCAATATCAGTAGGAAAAAAACTATGCAGATGAAAACCAGCAGAATCTGGCAGCCCTGCACATAGGCAATAGTAAACAAAATGTCTCATAAACAACACATAGAACCCCAATGGGCTGCATGGGCCACAGGCTGTCTACCACTGCTACTCACACTAGTTACAACTGCAAATACATTTTATCATTTATTTGAAAATATGAAATACTTGGTCTCAATCGTTTCCATTCAGTTTATTGGAAATTAAACTGACTGAAATGTGACTATGTACTTGTTTTAATTTTAAGAGTGCTGGAGCAATCATTTATAAAGATTTCACATCCAAACAGCCATAGGCTTCACATTTAGAATGTTTTATTTTATCTTTATCGGATAAAAAGATTAAAGAGTCATGTAATACTCTTTCTTGTCCATAGGACCAACTCATCATCCCATTAGAAAACCTGTGTAGCTATATCAGAACTTTCATTTTCAAGATACATGAGCTTTTGTCATAAACTGACATATCTTTTATAATGTGAATTTTCAATATGATATAAAAATGATGGATATATCATACAATTCAGAAAGCATGGAGAACAGCAACCTGCCACTGAATTTTAAATTTGTGACAACCTGGTTGAAGTGTATTGCGTTAAGACTGGTACTGTTTATTACATCACATTTCAAAAGGACTACTGCTGTGGGCAATGGGTCATATTGATGTGGGGCTTCCTCAGTCTCTCCTGTTCAAGCTGTTCCACGGTGGTTAAATAATGAAAAAGCATGGGGACTAAACACAGGGTTGCCCTATACCCAGATGGGTGCCCTAACATTCTCATACACATTCTCCTTCTCTCTTTGGCCGCATGACTGTTCTGCTGTGGATAAATATCTCAACAGTCACGGAGCCAGACAGACAGTATGTGAGGATTGGGTAGTCCAGTGATTAGGATACTCATCTGGAATGCGGGTGATGCTGGATCCAGTACCCCTGCACCATAAATCATCTATATTGAAGCTTTAACAGAAGAGATGAAGGGAGCCCCATATCAGCAAATCCCATGGCTCACTGGTTAGAGCACTCTCCTAAGAGATGAGACCCCTGTTCATATTGTTTCTTTTCCCTTTGGCAGAGGGAGGGATTTACCCTGGATCTCCTCCATCTCATATGAGTGCTCTAACCACTGGGCTAAAAGTTATAAGATGGTGGATGACAACAGAAGCACCACCTCCTCCTCCTCCAGCCATCTTGTATGATGTGAGACAGGTGCCCAACTCATTTTCACAAAAATCACCTTAGAATCCTGATTCTCATTCATGGATTGCTAAGCAAGGAGAGGTGCCTCCCTGCAGTCCAGACTCAAACACCTATCTCCTAGAGAAAGATGGGACTTAGGACACCCTACTCTCACCAAGATCACCCCAGGGCTAGTTTAGTCAAGTTACTTTGATCTGGCATGCTGCCTTTGGTGGACTGCATTCTAATGTGCCTATCTCCCTCGCCACCACCACCACTATTTGACCGTACAGAAAACAGAGGGACCTAACTCAGCTTTGTGGATCACTTTAGTGTTCTTTTGATTTTCTTAGTATCTGAAAGTCAGGGGCTCTGACACCAGCATTGCAATGTCCATGTTCCTTCCTGGAACCCACCCTCTGCAGGTATCTCACTGAATGAACTGTTCATACTTCATTGGCTAGCAGTTACTAAACCCCAACCCATATTATTGCATAAGTGCTTTTCTGAAGGGTAAAGTACCCTAGTTTGTCTTTCTGCTTCCTCTTAGGCCTATTGTTCGTTTAATTATTGTTTTGCTTACACGTTAATAAACTGATTTGGTGTTTGGACTTCTTCAAAGTTTAGGCCAGTGTAAAACATTAGACTTTGTGTACAAGTCCCAAGCAAATTCAATAAAGATATATTTTAATGTGCTTAGTAAATTTTGAAATATGTTACTAAAGGAAATATTGTTTATTATATTAACAACTGCACAGTTGTATGTGCATAGTTTTTACTATGAAGATGAAGGTTACTCTTACTATTCACAGAAAATATTTTAAAATCTCAATTTAATTGATTCCGGACCCTACATGTAAAAATGACTTCACTGCTAATCTCAAGAAGTCTGATTTAAATAGATATTTTAAAATCTTTGCCTTTCAAAATAAAAGGTCATATTGGTAGATGCCAATCAAGACTACAGAAAAGAGAAGAAATGTGAATTATAATTTGTGGAGGATTATATTAACTACACTTAAATACATTCTGTTTTACTATAACAATGCCCTCTGTTAAAGTTTGCAGGCCTCAGCACAAGTAGTTTGGAAAAAGGAATGACAGCATAAACAAAACTTTGAAAAAGAGAGGGATTTATGAGGGTGGAGTTCACTATAAAACAGTGGATTGGAGCTATTCAATACCCTGGGGCTGAAAATCTTTGAAAGGGTGCAGGAGTAAAGGCTCAGTAGACAGATTACAACAAACTTGGTTTCATAGCCCTCTCCCTCAACATACTGACTATCCAGCGTTCACCCCATGTACAAAAACAAAAGAGCTAGTGAGCACTCACACAAACAGTGCAAAGATAAGCAAACAGCTGCACTGAATTTTATTTGTAAAAGGCTAGTTGACTAACTCAGGATAAGGTTTACACTTTAAAATTAATTTGGTAAACATCTTTTAGATTCAGGATTAATTGAAACAGAAAGTGTACTTTATTTTAACGGTTTGTTCGCAGAACACATTCCCCCTTTAAAGAGATTATTAATTTCCGAGTTTAAATCACTGACTCATCCCACACTTCAGAGACAAACACCATGCCTAAACACACTAGTGGAGCACAATACACTCAGTAGTAAAACTCACAACAGCAAAGAAAGTGAAAGCTGTATTTATTCAGCAAGTTATTTGGCTCAGCCAACCATAATGCCATTCCCTATCACTTATTGTTTACTCTGGTCAAAGGATTATTAAAAATTACCCTGCATTTTGCAATTTTTAAATATGTAAATATATATTCAGAATGACTGCCACTTAATATCTGAATGATCGTGAACATTTACAAGGGACTCATTTGACTGAAAGGATCTCTGGTTTGCAAATGCAGGTTTTGTGTCTGTTAATTTTTTTAACAAGAAATGAACAAGACTGAACCGATATTCACATGCACTGGTACTTGTGTTTTTAAAGATATCTGTTTACACCCATGCCTGATTTAGTTCTAGTCGGTGAATTTATGAGTCCGTTTCTCTTGGCAATTTATGACAATGCACAATTATTTTTTAAACTCACACAGAAGTTAACTCTTCTGCTGCTTTAAGACATAACAGAAAAGTATGTTGATTCCAACTAAATACAAAGGAATGGTTATGTGACCATTAACAGTGAGGTCCCGATATTACTATTGATACTTGGGGTGGGGGGGTCGAAATGGGCTAGTAAACTAAGAGAATTAGGTTAAGTGATACATGCTTGTTTCTATAAAGGCTGTTTATAAAGATAATACCATTTATATATTAAATCCATTGTTAATGACGATTTCTGAAGTTTGCTCTCTATGTGATTAAAGCAGAAGACTATATTCATGCCTGAACAGAATTTCTGCGTCTTAAAAGGCTGATAGATGCAACATTTCTCTAAACAAAAATGTCTCATAGCCCTACCTTGTGCCAAGGCTTGCAACATGTGGAGCTGAAGCAACAGAAACGCCCACCATCCGCGACAGAAGAAACAGAAGTTAAACTTTATCATCATCCGGTCTCTCCAGCTATTCCTTCGTGCAATAATTTCTCGATCCGCCTTTCTTCCAACCATTATTTCTTCACGGATCCCCAATCTATTCGACTGCCTGACAGTTTTGTCAGCTCTTTGGTCATTGATCGCTCCACACCCCGAGGCTGGATTCTCTTTGGTGGGTTGGGGACATCGCCCTTTGCTTTCACCCTGAAGTTTTGAGGGAACAGAAACCCTCGGTTTATAGGAGCGGAGGACTCGGTGATTTGTGCTCACTTTGCATGCAACCCTAAGGCAGCACGCCGAGTGCATGACTGTATTATAATCGCCATCTAAATCAATGTATCTTGTGGAGGTATTGATTGCACCAAAACAAGCAGGCAGAAATGTAAAACACATGTTTCTCTGCACTGTCACATCCAATGCCTTCAACGCTGAGAGAGTAAGTTTATTGGCGTTAGTATTCCAATAAATCTGGATCCTTCGTCAGATCGCTAGCAAATCCAGAAAGCGACTGATCCATCTAGAGAGCCACCAGCAAACAGCACCTTTCATACCGCAAAGATGACGGAAACTATTCCCACTTCTGATTATTATGGAGCAGGTTAGTTTTCCATATGTGCCCCGTCCCCGTGAACCCCAGCTACAGAAGTGTTAAATAAACCTAAAACCATGGGGAAATATCGCTCTATTCCTTGCACTAAGGATTTATTTCAGACAATTTCAAGATTAGCCATGCAGACAGGGCAGTCTCCAGATATCCCTCCCGCCCCTCCGGAGCTTCACAATTATATTAATCCGATTTTCCTTTAGCTACAAATCTGTCGTCAATAGGCAGGCTTGAAGGGTCCTCGACCACGTAAATTTAGCAGCCCTAGCTGTGATTCCGAATAGACCTGAAGTCAGCTACAGGCCAGTGAGGGTGTCGCTCGAACTCTCACACTCCACCAGAGGTGGGGAAAGCCTCAGAGTTGATCAGATTTCCCTCCTACCGGGAAGGTGCTGGTCTGTTTCTTGCAAAGGAACCGCAGTAAAACGCAGCTCCAAAAACATGCAAAGGATTTGCTTCTGGTCGGTTGTGGAAGCAACAAAGAAACCCTCAGCTGGGGCGGTTCAAGGAGGAAGAGGGGGAAATCGTCTGAAACAAGCAGCAACAAGGTGAAATCCTTCCAGTCCCTTTGCTTAGATGGACTCCTCCTACGTTTCTTGTTTGTGCAGCCTAGAGATCCTGGTTCTTCCTGTGTGTCTCTCCCTCAGAGAGGCTGTAAACACAAGGGGAAAGCGCTATCACAGCAGTAGCAATAAACCTCTACACAATTTTAAAAAGTAAACGCTAAATGTTTAATATTTAAACAAACCGCAGGACGTGTTTTCCCTCCTTCCCTCCCCCACAGAGAGAGGGGAAAGTTTTTATAGATTTTTTTTTCTCCTCAGATTTTCTTTCCTGATAGTTCAAATACAATTAGTAAAAAAGCCAATCAGGATCAACCAGACCAAAAGTAAAAACAAATCACCAGGGAAGGAAACTGATCAAACAAAAATCCTGCCAGCCACAAGCCTGAGCCCGAACTTTCCTCACCTCGCCTCGCTCTCTATCACCTGGGGTTCAGTCCCACCCAAGTCTGTCGCCCATACATTCTTCATCTCCACCCTTCACAACCTTCCCCTTTTCACATTGTGCCCGGGCACCCCTCATGTCCCCTCCGTCCCCCTTACCTCACAGCCTCCCTTGACCCTTACTCAATTCACATCCACTTCCCATGCTCCCTCCCTCCTCCCCAAGCCAATCCTAACTACCCCCTCACCACCTCCTCTTCCTCACTGACCCGCTAACCGCCCTCCCATTTCCTCTCTCCCTTCCCTCCTCCCCTGACCTACACCTAGGAGGGCTGGGTCTGTGTGGGGAAACATCCCTCTCCGGGGCCACGCAAAGCTGCTGCGAAGGAACTGGGGGGGGGGGACTGTCAGAGGCAATCGATGTGCGGCGGTGGCGTGTATCACACAGGTTTGCCCGCCTGTTCTGTACAGGCGCGGGAGGGACGCCGCCTCCCCTCCCCTCACACACTAGCTGGCAGCGAGCGCGGGACCTTCCAGCAGCCGCATGGAACGCTGGCCGTCCCAACCTTCCATTCCACCAGTTCTGTCGTCTCGCCCTCCCCCTCCCGCGGCACCGCCTCCAGCTAGGCGACTGATTGGCCGGAAGACGCGTGGGGAAAGAGGAAAAGAGACGGGGACGGGTAGGGGCGTTCTTTAACGGCCGCGCGCCCTAGCCCGATGGAACGTTGCCCCTGGTTCTCGCGCTCGCTGCGCCCCCTAGGTATGCAAGCCAGTCTCTGCAGCAGGAAAAGGGTGGAAGCGCGGGCACGCCCAGCAAAGAACGGGCGAGAGGCTGCTTAAGCCGCTGGCCATCTCTCCATCCCCTCCTGCTGTAACAGCAGCAGCTGCTGCAATTCATTTTTTACAGCAACGGGCAAAAAAGAGGGATTTATCGAAAGCCGGGGAGCCTCGAGATAAAAATTAACGTCTCCCCCTTCTCTCTTTGTGCGGTGCTTTAGCTCAGCCTGCAAGGGCTAGGAGCGCTGCAAAGTTCTTGAGCGTTATTTGATTTGATGTGCCAGCAAATGCTTATACTATAGGTTTGTGCCCAAGTTTTTTTTTTTTAATATCTTGGCTAGATACCTATTGCAATAGTTTACTGTGTGCTGCTGGTGAAACTATCAGGTCAAATGTAAGGGGGTTGCATCATTAATAGTTGGCATGGCGCTTTGGCAAAGTAATTTGACATTTAAGCCATTTATTCTTCCATTCTCCCGTTTACTTCATAATAAAAAAACTCTTCCAGCAGGCTAGCTCACAAACTAGAGCATATTAGATGCTAACCCACACCTCGTCTGTCTTCTTCCTACTTAGTATCCGACAGGTGCAACATATCCGTAGTCCTTCCCACGCCCTACTGTGTAACAGGTGCATGATAGCGAATAGACACGCGCGTGTTTTTTCCCTAGGCAGTAAACTATTAGGTGCTTATAACCTCCTCAGTCAGTATCAGACTCGTGGTATCCAGTGCCCCGTTCTGTTTCCTTCTGCCTGTTATTATCTAATGGATGTGTAATAAATCCCAGCTGTTCCCCAGTCTTCCTCTGTTTCCATTGAACTAGTGCATAGTATGTCTGTGTCCTTAAAAATGGACTCTTTCTACTGAAGTATCCACCAACTCTGTGGCGTCGGTATCCTGCTGCTCCCACAACCACTAACAGGAGAGCCAGGCTATCCTGTGCTCTGAAGCCTTTTCCTAGTAAACAGAAGATACAAGCTATATCTCAGCCCTAACCTCATTAACAACCAGGTGCGTGGTACAGTGAATCCCAGCACGTTTTCCCTCGCTGATATGAGACAGGTAAATAATTATAGAACTCAGGGTTCTACTCTTGTACTTATCCCTCCCCTATATCTGATTTCAGTACAATACAAGCTGAGTTAAGCCTGTTTTAAACTGTATAGAGAACTGGTCTCAAGGGAACAGCTGTGTTTATAACTGCTGTTGAACTATCCCACTGCAATGGGAAGGAACTGCTTTTTTCAAAACTAGAGCTCCACCCAATTACTAATGCACAGTAACTGGAAACACAAAGCACAGTTAATTGTTGTTTGTTTGTTTGTTAATTTCTACTAACAAAGCAATATTATGGATGCAGATCTGATGTCTGACAAGTTCAGAAGTTCAGTTTTTAAAGTTTTTATGGTTAGCTTGAAATAAAGGTAGATATCATTTGCTATGGGGCAACTGACCCCTGACATAGGTATATATGCTCCACTTTTTGGCCCCTCTCCTGGAGTTTGGAGGTTATGATATATAACGTTTTGTATGCTGATACAACTTTACCATACTCTCAATTCTTCTCTTCCCCCTCCCTCCCCGAAATGACATCCCTGTGTGTAGGGGAAAAGGCTCAGATACTCTCTATTTAACTTATAGAGACATTGATGACAGTGGTTATCTGTATTGAAATAGTGTTTGTGAAAATAATGTCAGGTAGTTTAGGCCCTAAACTAAAGCTTCATAAAAGATGAGTTATAGAAAATCTAGTATTTAACATGCTTGTTTCTGTTATTTTGTTTTCATTGAAGCCATGTTTTTTCCTAGAACTAAATATTCATTTTTAGTATTCTTGAATCCACAAGATTGTGTTGGTGTATAAAAACAGGGAAATAAAATTAGCTAATCAATTTAATCATCCAAGCCTATGAAGCTGAGTGAAATTTTTAAAAATGCACCATATGAATAAAAGTAAATCTGTTTTAAAACATTTTAATATTTCAGGGTGCCTTTAATAACAATGAAGGACATCTGCTTTTTAAAAAGAATCTCTTCAACTTGAGAGTGTATCTTTAAAATTATCCTTCCTCCCCACCCCTGTATTTTGACTAGAGAGGCAGTGAATGTTTCATTGCTTTCTTTTGACCTGATGAAGTGCCTTTGGTCTTCTGAAAGACTAAATGATGTTTTCTTCGATCATGTTAGTTAAACACAATTGAGTGATCCTCTTATTAGGTTTGTTGAGACACAGAATAACACCTCTGGAGTACTGTAGTGGGGCTGGGCAGCACTTAGCCTACAACACATAGACTAAGAAAACATGTGGGTGGTATCATGAGCTTTTGTGGGCACAACCCACTTCTTCAGATGACAGGAGTGTTGGAAGTCCTTCAAAGATGTTAGCCTGCATCTTAACATGAGAAAAGAAGGCTTCTAAAAAAGACACCACCATTTTTGGCTTTAAACACAAGTCCTATGTCTCTAAAATGTAACTCTGTTTTTGAGAGTTTTTTTAAAATGTTGTGATGTCAGAAGGCTGCTTGGATGTCGGTAATATTGTTTTTGCTGTTTCCATGTTACTGTTCCATACTTGCTCCCAGCTTTCCCTTAAAGTTCATTATGAGTGGGAAGCAAATTGCTGAACTAGTGGCAGGAAAGGCAGTAGGACAGCTCTCTCTAAGTATTGGAGACTTAGGGCTCATCTACACTGCAGGGCAAAAGTCGAATTAAGATATGCAACTTCAGCTATGTCAATTGTGTAGCTGAAATCAAAATAGCTTAATTTGGCTTTTGGCGCTGTCTACACAGCAGGAAGTCGAAGGAAGAACTCTCTTCCTTTGACTTCCCTTAGTCCTTGTGAAATGAGGGTTACAGAGTTGGAGTAAGAAGACCTCCATCTCACCATTATTTTGAAATAGTGGCTTGCTGTGTGGATGCACATTTTGTTATTTTGAAATAACATCAGTTATTCCAAAATAATGCTGCTGTGTAGATGTACCCTTAGGAAGACACATCAGTGGAGGTGAAAAGCATAGAAGAGAAGGAGGTGTAAAAGATGTAAAAAGGCAGGCAGAGAGCAGAGCAAAGATGATAATATGGGGCAGATCCTGTAATTTTAAAATGACTATTCAGTAAAATGCAAACATGATACCAATTTTACAGGAAGTTACAAAGTTTTGTATCCTCATTGTAGTATATTGTATCATTTTCTTTATATACATGATGAAAGTATAGAAAAACACTGGGGCTACGTCTACACTGGCTCCTTTTCCGGAAGGGGCATGTAAACTTCACTAGTCGTCGTAGGGAAATCCGCGGGGGATTTAAATATCCCCCGCGGCATTTAAATAAAAATGTCCGCCGCTTTTTTCCAGCTTTTAAAAAAGCCGGAAAAGAGCGTCTAGACTGGCCCCGATCCTCCGGAAAAAGTGCCCTTTTCCGGAGGCTCTTATTCTTATTCTTCAAAGTAAGAATAACCCTTTGAAGAATAAGAATAAGAGCCTCCGGAAAAGGGCACTTTTTCCGGAGGATCGGGGCCAGTCTAGACGCTCTTTTCCGGCTTTTTTAAAAGCCGGAAAAAAGCGGCGGACATTTTTATTTAAATGCCGCGGGGGATATTTAAATCCCCCGCGGATTTCCCTACGACGACTAGTGAAGTTTACATGCCCCTTCCGGAAAAGGGGCCAGTGTAGACGTAGCCTGGGAATATAAAGGACAGAGAAAAGGCGGAAGAAGGAATAGAAGACTTACCTACTCAGAACATGCCATCTACCTGAGTGCAGCTGTTTAGCTCAGAAAGAAGGATCATACAAAGAGGAACCAAGCTAAAGATAAACAACACAGTTCGGCTATGTATAGACTGGCCAGTTTTTCCGGAAAATCAGCCGCTTTTCTGAAAAAACTTGCCAGCTGTCTACACTGGCCGCTTGAATTTCCGCAAAAGCACTGACTTCCTACTGTAAGAAATCAGTGCTTTTTGCTGAAATACTATGCTGCTCCCGTTTGGGCAAAAGTCCCTTTTGCGTAAAACGGCCAGTGTAGACAGCTGAGATTTGTTTTCCTCAAAAAAGCCCCGATCGCGAAAATGGCGATCGGGGCTTTTTTGCGGAAAAGCGCGTCTAGATTGGCCATGGATGCTTTTCTGCAAATCTAGACGCTCTTTTCCGTTAAAAGCATTTCCAGAAAATCATGCCAGTCTAGACACAACCTTCTTGTTTTGGTAGAAAAGAGAAGGGGGGGAAACAAATTGCCATGCAATAAATTGACAACATACATCTCTATGGTTATAGTAGCTACTCATATGGCTTGGGTATATTTGTTATAGCCATAGTTCTTACATTAACAAAGTTTTTAATTTTGTCACAAATGGCTAATTTGTCCTGTCTCGTGCAATTATACTGAATTCTGCTACGGTTGTCACTTTTGCCAGCCAGTCAGACTCCTATGAAGAGAATATCTTAAAGGTACAGGATTATATTTGTTTTCAACAAATCTCATCTTACTTTCCTAAATCTATCTCATTCATTGTTAGATAATACTGAATTTCAAGTTTGCAAACCATACCAAATTAAAGTTTTCCAACCAGGAAATCACTATAGTTTGTTTGCTTATGTTAGTCTTGTAATTAAACATAGTTATTGTCTTTCATACGTTCTTCCATAAAAGGCAGTTCTAACTAATTTTATGACAACATGTAATATTTTCTACCAAGGTGTAAAACATCAAAGAAAACTC